ACAGTCAGCTGAATGTACACCAGGACTAATTTTCACTAATAGAGGGATCCTGAGGTAAGAGAGATGATAAAAATGAGGAATATAAATTGAGGTTCACATCTYTTCCAGTATGAAAGAAAACCCAATGTTTATTTGCTTTATTTTATGTCTCAGAATTTAGTATTAAAAGGTTGGTGAAATAGAAGATATGTATTTCTAAACTTCTTAGTTCAAAATGGCTGGAGAATATATCATCTAACAAAAGATGGGAGACTGAAAAGCTACTTCAGACCTGAAATCCCTGATGGAATTAAAAGAGAATCTTATATCTACATGGTTATTACACATTTTCAGGTCTAAAAAATTAGAGGATTAACTGAGTAAGATCTCTCCCACATCTTTTTCTACTTCCTGTCACTGTCTATTCCACTTGACCAATAAAAGACTACAGGGTTTTTCTCCCCACATATTTTTTTTATTGGTGCATTGTAATTGTACTTAATGGTAGGATTCAGTGCTATGTTTTATACATGCACAAGATTATTTTTTAATGAACAACTTTCTGTTTAGATACTTAAACTAAAATTTTGCCTGCTCAGAATAATTTGTTAGTTTCTCATGCTTTTTTGGAGGCTTATCGTTTTTTACACTTAAGTAAAATTCATTTGAACTGTGATTCTCAATTACAGTTTTTATTTCTTAGATAAATTCAGAGGCCATCCCAAGATAGAAGTTAAGGGAAAATTAAGAGAAAGAACATCAGGGCTGAGGCTGTAGCTCAGTGGTAGAAAGCTTGCCTAGCACATGTGAGAGACACTGGGTATTGTGTCCATCTACAGCTAAAAATAGTTAAAGAGAGAGAGAGATAAATAAATAACATCAGCTAATATAATTCTCAATAAAAAGAAAGAATGGTAAAAGTACAAAAAAAAAAATGGGCTAGGGCAGTGGCCCAGTGATAGAGCACTAGCCTAGCAAATGTGAAGCACTGGGTTCAATCCTCAGCACCACATAATAAATAAAATAAAGATGTTGTGTCCATCTACAACTAAAACAGTATATATTTAAAAACTACTTATTCAGCACTAGGTGAAAATTTTTATTTAAATTAAAAATGTCATGAATAATTCTGAGCATACTTCTTTAAAAAAAATTAAGATCCTGATAGTGAATATTGTAGATTTTGTGGTTCATATGGTTTTGTCACAACTATTCACTCTGTTTTTCTAGTACAAAGGTAGCCATARATGATGTACACATGAACAAACATGGCTGTATTCCACTAAAACTTTATTAATGAGCACTTAAATTTGAGTTTCCATGTTTTTACATAGCATGAAATATTCTTTTTTAAAAAATATTTTTAGTTGTCAATGGACACAATATCTTTTTTTTTAATCATTATTTTTTAGTTGTAGTTGGTCACATTTTGTTTATTTATTTTATGTGGTGCTGAGGATTGAACCCAGGGCCTTGCACGTGCTAGGCAAGCGCTCTACTGCTGAGCCACAACCCCAGCCCCCACAACCCCCTTTCAAATATCTTTTTATGTATTTATTTTTAATGTGGTGCTGAGGATTTCACCCAGTGCCTCACATGGGTGAGGCAAGCACTTTACCTCTTAGCTGCAACCCTAGCCCATGAAATATTCTTTTGTTTTTTATTTTGAACCATTTAAAAATATATAAACAAGCCAGGTGTGATGGCATACACCTGTAATCCTAGTGGCTAAAGCAGCAGGATCAAGAGTTCAAAGCCAGCCTCAGCAGAAAACGAGAAGCTAAGCTTCTCAGTGAGACCCTGTCTCTAAATAAAATACAAAATAAGGCTGGAGATGTGGCTTAGTGGTTGAGTGCCCCTGAGTTCAATTCCCACTACCCACTCCTCCGCAAAAAAAAATAAAGAAAAAAAWATATATAAATATTCTTAGCTAGAAGGTCATACAAAAACAGGTTGATGGACTGGGGCTATAGCTCAGTCGGTAGAGTGCTTACATTGCATGCATAAGGCCCTGTGTTCAATCCCTAGCACCTCCAAAAAAAAAAAAAAAAAAGTTGTACATACTCCTGGTACAGAGGAAAATCTTGAACAAGAGTTGTTGTGGGATAAAGTGCCTGAGATCCCTTTTTTACCCAGAATCTCAAGAGTATGGCATACAAAGGTGGTGTGGTATGGTGAAAAGAGCCTTAAAACAGTGATTGTAATAGTTAGCTTTTGCTGCCTAACAAACTACACTCCAAAATTAGTGCCTGAATCAGTATTCTCATAATTCTATGGTTGCTATAATGCTTTTATGCTTTGTGCTGACCTAGTTGAGCTGAGACTGTTTAGGTCTTACAGTCTCGGATAACTTACTCACAAATCTGGGGCCTTAGACTAAGGATGGCTAGAGTCTACTTTAATGTGACTTCTCATTTTTCAGGAGGCTAGCCCAAACTTGTTCCTAGGGTGGTAGAAATGTTCCCTGGTCCATGTTCTTTAGTGTTCCATATGCTAAAGCAAGTCACATGAGTAAATCCAGGGTAAATGTGCGAAGGGATTAGAAAAGTATGATTCAATTCAACAGTTAGAGCAACCTGCCATAGTGGTTAATATTCATTAAAAGCCTGGTGGTAGTACCTGGCATGTAAAGCACTCAGTAAATGTTTAGGTTCCTCCCATACTATAGTAAGTRAATATGCCTACTCTGGTGAATTATTTCTAGGCAGTCTCTAATTCTCTTATATCATAGTCATTGTTCTTGAGGGTTTCCTATATGTTGTTTTAAGATATAACAACACCAGTAGACTTTTTTCTCCCCAGTCCTGTGGATTGAACCCAAGGTCTCCCATGCTAGTAATATACATATATACATAGTATCCATTACTTCTCTCTCTTGGGGATTGCACCCAGGGGTTCTTAACCACTGAGTCATGTCCCCAGCCCTTTTTGGATTTTATTTAGAGACAGGGTCTCACTGAGTTGCTTAGCACCTTGCTAAATTGCTGATGCTGGCTTTGAACTCTATCCTCCTGCCTCAGCCTCCCAAACTTCAGCCTCCCAAGCCTCTGGGATTACAGGCGTATGCCTCCATGCCTGGCTACTTTCATCTGTTATTGATTTATTTCTCCTATGTGGAATGAATACTCTTGGTTGGAATTAATACTTTCTTCATGTTTATTGTTAGCATTTTAAACAAATTTTTCCATTTTCAGATAATTATAGGTTCACATGCTGTTGTAAAATAATTTTCTACAATATTATCTTACAGATTTATAGTACAGTGTCACAACAAGGATATTGACATTGATGTTGAGATAATCATGAAACAGAACATTTCTATTACTATAAGACTCTTTTGATCTTTTATAGTGATACCCACTTCTCTCTTGTTCCTATAGCCTCTTGGTTTTGTTTTGTTTTGTTTTCCAATGCTAGGGATTGCCTTTTTAAAATCGTAAATCGTTAAACTTACAATTTATTCTTCAGATTTTCAATTTTCTGGAACAGATGTGAGACTTGAAATTTGTATTGCCAGTGATAACTTTCACATTTGAAAATCTTACTCAGCTTTTATTTATTTATTTATTTTGGTTCTGCCATATTTATTTGTTTTTTATTTTTAAATATTTATTTATTTTTTGATTGTAGTTGGACACAATAACTTTTTTAAAATTTATTTTTATGTGGTGCTGAAGATCAAATCCAGGGTCTCGCACATGCTAGGTGAACACCCTACCACTGAGGCACAACTCCAGCCCTCTGCCATATTTATTACAAGACTCTTGAAGTATTTGATCCTTGCTTAAAGGTAGATGATATCCACATTTATTTGAGGGGAGTTGTTATCTTCAGMAATCTTTTTGTATATCACTCTTCTTGAGAAGTTCTCCTTTTTGGGATTTTTCCAGGGTTTCAAGAAACTGTTCAGATATTTCACATAAGATGCTAGACTGGCCTTCTTATGATCTTTGGTTCTGTGTTTGATATCAGATTCAACTTCAATCTCCTCTTTTTCTTTAATGAAAATGACATCCAATTCATGGCAGATGGAGCTTATAGTTGGAATAGTAAGTGGATCAACTGATCCACTTTCTTAAATTGATACACACAGAAATGTGACCTGTTTTAGGATGAACACTAAAAGAGCTCTTCAGTAAGTGATTGATTCTTTTACTAACTTTGATATCCAGCTGTGGAAAATAGTACTGGAGCAAAATCTCCCACTCCAACCAGGGTTCACATTTTCATTTTTGATATTCTGGTTTGTACTGGCTACTCTCTTCAAATGTTTCCGTTGCTGAAGCGAACTGTGAGACTTTTGGAAGTCTTTTTTGAAGATCTTCATGGAACAAGGAATTAGGAACAAGGGCTAAAATCTTATCCCAACTTTCTGTATTTTCAAGAATATCATGATCAACCAAGGCATTTTCTTCAAAGTATTTTAAAATTATGTTTATAGATTCACCCTTGGGTGAATTTTTTCACGTAGGTGAACTTTCTTTTTTTAATATCTTAACTGTACTTTACAAGAAGCAAATACTCAGGGTGTGGTGGGGAGGTTGTGGCTCAGTGGTAGAGCATTTGCCTAGCACATGTGAGGCACTGGGTTCAATTCTCAGCATCACATTAAGAAATAAAATATCGTGTCCATTTACAATTAAAAGTATTTAGGGCTGGGGCCGTAGCTCAGCGGCAAAGCACTTGCCTAGCATATATAAGGCACTGGGTTCGATCCTCAGCACCACATATTAAAAAAAAAAAAGTGAACAAATAAAATAAAGGCATTCTGTCCATCTACAACTACAATTTTTTTTTAAATTTAAAAGTATTTAAAAAAAATCCTCAAATACTCAACTATTCTAGAGGATAGCAGAGGATAGCTTTCCAACTCATTCAACCCAGACCCAACAATGAACACTTCACCTTCCAGAACATACTCAGAGTTGAGGCTTAAATCCAAAGTCCTCCTTTAATGCTCAGTTGATGATGTGGATGGCTATTGTCATGAGGGTCCAGCACTTTGAACATATGTCTGCAGAAAAAATATGGAATGCTTCACGAATTTCCATGTCATCCTTGCTTAAGGGTCATGCTACTCTTCTYTGTGTCATTCCAATTTTAGTATGTGTGCTGCCGAATCGAGCAACAGTTCTCTAACTTTTAAAATGAATTTAACATAGACAAAATCTGTGTAAAGCAATTAGTGTTTTTTTTTTAAAGAGAGAGAGAGAATTTTTTAATATTTATTTTTTAGTTTTCGGCGGACACAACATCTTTGTTTGTATATGGTGCTGAGGATCGAACCCGGGCCACACACATGCCAGGCGAGCACGCTACCTCTTGAGCCACATCCCCAGCCCAGCAATTAGTGTTTATAAAAGACCTACCATACCTAATTGGAGATTACTTTTTCCTATCACCTGGGATTTGAATTGGATACATATAATAGAAAAACTTTTAATTTTTTGAAAATTTTATTTATTCTAATTAGTTATATATGAGAGCAGAATGTACTTCATTTCAAAAACTTTTAATTATATAAGCATAATAGAATTTCTCTCTATATAAAGTAAGTCCAGAAGTCTGTAGTATAGGGCTAACATGACAAGACCAGAGTCAGCAAGAACTCAGACTTTTTCTTTTGTTTATTACAACCATATTGAGGTCCTTGTTTTCTTTCTTTAGGATAGTATAAGATAGAGGAAAGTCAAGAAATCTCTTCCTATCAGCTCTTCATATTAAGACCTGTTTGATTGTTTAGAAATACTCTTTTGTTTTAGATACTTCTTTTTACACATTTATTTATTTTTTATTAAGAATGAAATAAACAGAACTTTCTGGAAGAGTGGAAGTTCACCTTCCAGAATTATATAATCCTTTCAACATTTTTGTACATATAATTATGATGTTGTCTTATTCATTTAATACACTTAAAACATGCCCACATACATAGTTTAAAAGCAGAATTTACAATTATTCCACTTAAAAATAGTTTTAAATTTTTGGTGGTATCACTTAATAAGAAATCTACCCCCTTAAAAAATTTAAGTATACTATTGTATTGTAAAACTATAGGCAAAATGTGATATAGCAGATCTCTATTACTAATTCATCTTTGTACTTGTTGAATAGTAACTCCCTGTTCTACTCTCTGCTTCATTGAATTTGAATACTTTAGCTATCTCATTTAAGTGAAGTCATGCAACATTGGTCTGTCAATGACAGGCTTATTYCATCTTACCTAATGTTGTCGAGGCTTATTCACATTGTCACATATAACAGTGTTCCCAGAACAACCCAATCCTTGTATGTGAGAACTATCCTCAAAGTGTCATGAGACCAAAGAAAGAGGAAATCAGATCCAGGATTGCACAGAATGCAGTTTATTAGTTCACTTACTGATGGAAGTGTGGCCCGTGGGTGACAGCAAGACCAATTAGATCTCTGCAATTTGAGTTAAACAAAACTGACTATATCCTAGCTGTAGTACACTTGGTTTATCTTAATATCAAAGAGTTAGGCACAACCTTGGAGCTGAGGTCTGGTTGTAAAGCTCCACCTACCACACTAATGGTTTTGTCTATTTATAATTTGCTAGGAAACTATGCAGGAAAAACTAGGTAAGATTACTCTGGGGTAATTGTGGTGGTTAAAATCCAAGATGGCTGTAATCATGTCTAGCTTAATCTATACAGACAGTATTTTCTTCTTATTTATAGCTGAATATTTCATTATACATAGGCACCACATTTATCTATTCATCCATTAATGAACACTTGGATTGCTTCCACCTTTTGGCTATTATGAATTATTATGAATAAGTGTTTTAGATACTTACTACTAAAAATATAGTAGCTTTTCATACTTAATGTTTTGTTATCTCTAATATTTACTCATGGATCCTGTATCCATACAGCAAGGTTATCATATCTTGCATGTTTACATCAGACTGTTAGGCCGACATAAAACTGAGCTTACAAACACTTGATTAATTAATTTGAATATACTAGTTGGGATTTTAGAATTTTTGGTAAGTTCTAATTAATTGGTTGATGTTTCATCCATACTAATCAATATGGATTTTAAAGATAATTTTGAAGCCCAAGGAGTTTAAACAGAATGATAATAATATCCAGATGCTGAGAACTAATTAGAAATATGTGGGGTTTAATTCCATTTACTTTGCATTTAGAATTTTCTTGATGAATATTTTTATTTGTACTGTGTATCTTTTAATAATGTGTTTTTGTCTTCATAAAGAATCTGATGATTCTTGTTACAATATTCAGACTCATAATGGGTCAAATGTCTATTGGAGAAATAAATTCCTCATGGATTTAATTATAGTAGTATTAATAAGTCTATAAAGAACCTTAGAACAATTCAAAGTGAAATATTCTTTGGGATATGCTGATTAATTAATCTAAAAAGTGAAGAATTATAAACAAAGCAGTCTTTTCTTGACCCCTTCTTCCCAATGATAAGTAATCAACATAATTTATAGTCTTTTTGTGTGAGATAGGAGACTTCCTTGAGTGGTCTGGTTTCTTCCACTTAAAATAGGTATTACAAAACTTCTTTTTTTTTTTTTTTAGCTCAACTTCAAATTTACTTTGTTTCTGCATTTAAAGTTTAATTATCTAAGTGCAGTGTTTATTTAAATGTATTTTAAGTTGTAGATGTCACAATATATTTGTTTTATTTATTTTTTTTATGTAGTGCTGAGGATCAAACCCAGTGCCTCACAGGTGCTAGGCAAGTGTTCTACCACTGAGCTACAACCCCAGCCCAGTGCAGTGTTTTTAAATTAATGTTATTTCTATATTGCAAGAAAATAAAAGGTTAATGAGGCAGCACAGAGCGGSTAGGAGTGCCATAGGTTTAGCTATCCATTTTTTTTTAAATATTTATTTTTTAGTTTTCGGCGGACACAACATCTTTGTTTGTATGTGGCACTGAGGATCAAACCCGGGCCGCATGAATGGCAGGCGAGCGCGCTACCGCTTGAGCCACATCCCCAGCTCTAGCTATCCATTTTTAAAGATCCAAATGTGGTGGGAAGTCGCTTATCTCAAGTAGATCTTCCCAGGCTTCTTCTGGTCTTTCTCCTTAACTTCTACCCCAAATGCCTTGTAAAAATTCTGCATGTGTCTCAGTTCTAGAATGTGTTATGATTTGCTTTTGTTTTTAAAAGAGATTTATTTATTTATTTTAGTTGTAGTTGAGCACAGTACCTTTATTTTATTTATTTATTTCTATGTGGTGCTGAGGATTGAACCCAATGCCTTGCATGTGGTAGGTGAGTGCTCTACTGCTAAGCCACAACCCCAGCCACAGAGTTTTTATGTTGAGATGTAAATTAGACAATGAGTATTGAAAACATCTTTTTAGTGGAAAGATGTATATACCATTCCAGAACATTCTTTAAAAGGCTGCTTCTATGTCTAATTGTCACTGTTACAGATTTATGGCTTAATTCATGTCAATAAATTACAGACTTTTAAAAAGATAGAATACATAATTACCTAAACAGGATTTGATCTGACTTCCTATAGTTTTTCCTCTTTAGAAATACTGGTTTATTTCTACTAGCCAGTGGTGAAAGTCAGACTACAGGTTTTTTTTTTTCAGTTGTAAATGGACACAATATCTTTAATCTCTTTTTTTTTTTTTTTTAATGTGGTGCCATGGACCGAACCCAGTGCCTCATATGCATACTAGGCAAGCGCTCTACCACTGAGCCATAACCTCGGCCCCAGCCTATAGTTTTTTAGAAAACATTTCCATTTGCTACAAATGTAGGTTTGGTAAGTGTTTTCTCAAACTTTATTGTTAGAACAACAGCAACTAAAAGTTTCTTATTGTAGTAAACAAAAATTTTACCAATTAAATCATTTTTTWAAAAAAATTCTTTAAATTTTAATTTATTATATATGACAACAGAATGCATTACAATTCATATTATACAAATAGAGCACAATTCTTCATATCTCTGGTTGTACACAAAGTAGAGTCACGTCCTTCACATCAATTTAATCATTATTAAGTGTGCTGTACAGTGACATTCAGTGTTGTGTAACCATCACCAGTATTTCATCATCCCAAACAGAAACTCTGTACCCATTAAGCAATAACTCCTCATTCTCCCCTTCCCCCAACCCCCTTATGAGTTTGCCTATTCTAGATACTTCACATAAGTGAAATCATATAATTGTTCTTTTGTGGCACTATTATCTAATAAAAATCTACTAGCTTCCCAAAATTAATTAGCTCTAAATAATATTGTTTGTTTTTCTGGAATTTTATGATTCTGTTTATTTTGGCAGTAACAAAAATTCATCTTAGAAAAAGAAGGGAATTATCAGTTTTTTGAATTGATGAAAAGATTAAACAGCTAAGTCTGAAATGGGAAAAATGCAGCTAAGACTAATGAAAAACAGAAATAAGAGAACCCTTTGCATCTCCCCTTTCTTTCCTCTTATAGGCTTTATCTTCTGCTGTACTGTGGCCCTCTTATGGCAGGAAACATGGCTGTCACTAGTATCAGAATTTTATTTTATAGATTCCATGAGAGGGACTGATTTTCACTTTCTAGATTCTAAGTTTTAAAATCTTGGAAAAGATGTATTAACTCAACAAAAAGCTTCTTGCACTTTATCACCTTATTCTATCCACCCTTTTAATTCTGCCCAGCACTACTAATAGCCATGTGGAAGAGGTAGGGTATGGTAAAACAAAGTTCCTAGAAGAACAGAGTTAGCATATGGACAGGCAGTCTTGTGGATGCCCATGATATATTAAAACTTATTTGTAGTATGAGATGACCAAATGAATGATRTAGTGAGCAAAGTCTCTAATCTTGGACTATTTTTTCTGGTATTGAGCACATTAGGTATTTATGTGATTAGGATATTCTTAGTTAATAAAACCTCCTCTAAGATTGCTAATTATAGAAGTGTCATAGATGTAATTCCAGAGGGCTCTCTCTTTTTAAAAATTTTACTTCTAACTATGTCTTGCTTTTGTGTCATTTTAAGAACATTTTCACCATCTGCAAAAGAAATCTGTGCCTATGAGCGCATACTATGTATTGCCCTTTAAGTTCTCTTCCCCAAGTTCCTGGCATCCACTCATCTACTTTCTCTC